ATAGATCAAGATAGCAACTTCTACCTGTCTAAGTTTGAGTATTCTCGTTACCTGCTTGCTCGCTAATGTATGGATATTTTAAGGAGAAGTTACATGTTAATTACTTCTGGGAGTAAAGGGTTAAAAAACGTGAACCGGCGAGAAATCTGCAAGGGATCTACCGCTGATTGATAGTGACAGACCCCCGGCAAACTTCTATCGTACTCGTCTCCCCGAGGGCGGAGAAACGCGTGTCCTGCAGCACTCGTAATGAAGGGTGCCATAATCCTAATCAGTCCTAGTTTAAAAGCGATTTTCATTCTTAAATGTTTTGTCTTTAGGATGGTCGATCACGTGCTATCGTTGTGGTGGAGCTGCACCAAGTTGTGAGGGGTCTGGTAACGCGACAGTAAAATGTGATGATTCATCCATGCCTGGTTCTGTGTTCGCTTGTCAAGTGTACACAGTCAATTACACTTCATATGACACGATCAAAGTGTTTAAAAGTAAGAAACTTCAAAGTGAGAGACGTGTTAGGAGGGTTTCAATTGGGTGCTGGCTTTTTCGGCTAACGGTCAAAATTTTGGCCAATTTACGGCTTGCGGTTAATATCTTTCCATTGTTTTCACCAGAAACTTTTTTTACAGTGAACTTTTTTCACGACTAACGGTTAAAATTGGTCAGTTTTTACGCCTAATGGCTAAATTCTTTGGCCGTTTTACAGCTAACAGTTAACCCCATTGAGGCCGTTTGTTGAGGATAGAAATGAAAAAGCGAGAGGCGATGAGGTGACATGTGAATACAGTTTCGGGAAGTGATTTGAGATGCAATTAACATAACATTATGAGAGCTGAGATGTGCGATGTGATGAAATGAAAAATCAAGACAAGATGGAATAAGATAGCGCGTCGAGACATTTAGAACAGACACCACATAAAATCAAACGATAAACGTATGATAACAGGTCATGATTTTACGCAACAGATATGACAGCATGGGATGACATGCATGAAAATAACTTGGAAAAAAATGACACAACAAATGGGGTGATAAAAATGAAA